TTTGCCARTGTGTTGGAATGTGCACTGCAATAGAGCTTGAGAACCTTCTCAGGCATGACTTGGAATCTCCTTCAGTGTTCAAGGAGAGACAAGGAGGGATGGCATAATTAAATAGATTTCAGAGGCTGGTGTCTAATTGGGGGACCTCAATCTAAAACCTCCTACTGTCAGATGAGTCTTCTGGGTGAAACCTGATCCCAAAAGATTTGCATTCACAACCGAAATAAAATGGTTCAGCCTGGTGCTGTACAGAACTCCCAGAACCTTACTCATCTGTTTCCCACATTAGTGTGGCAGACAGCACACGCTCCTGGTTTCCTGAGCTCTGCTCTTTCTGCCTAACAGAAAAAATGATTGCTGTTTTCCAGAGTCAACTCATTTGTGAAGAACACGGCTGAAAATCAGAAGTTAAGTACGATAAATATGTAGACATATGATCTTTCATTTCATCTCTCTTGTGTGCAATGAAATAGTTAACAGTGCTGACATTTAATTACCATCCTACAGTTAGCACTGCACTGAGATGAGCTTGAGAGCTCACACCTCTTCAAATCGTTTGTTCTCTGCAGGCCCACAGAGGATGAGGCCTTTGCTGCATTAATTATCCCCTTTTTCAGCCACAGCCAGCTCTCAGTTCAGTTCAGCTATAAGATGGGATTTCATCTGGAGAGAAGCAGCTGTGCAATGTGCTGGCTTTTTTTCTGAGTCTTTGGGTAGAAAAACGCTGATATGGATGCCAAATATCTGTCATAATACATTGGTCATAAACCAATTRGTTATCACCGAGGAAACATCAGCCACTGACCTTTAGCCATTTTGCAGCATGAAGAACCATTCCAGAGCACAGTAGGAGGGTGGCAGGTCTGAATTAAAACACTTGCAGCACTGAACCTTTCCTCTTTAACAGAATGGAATCCTGTGCTGGTTTGGGCAGGGAGAGAGTTAATTTTCTTTACAGTAGTTAGTAGGGAGCTTGGATTTCATTAGTAGGTGTCTTGGATTTCTGCTGGAACCAGTGTTGACATCACAGGGATGTTTTGAACAGTGCTGACACAGAACCAAGGCCCTTTCTGATTTTCACACCACCAGCAAGTGGGCTGGGGGTCCAAAAGGGGCTGGGAAGGGACAGAGCCAGAACAGCTGACCCCAAATGGCCACAGGGRTATTCCAGACCATGTGGCATCATGCTCAGCACATAAAACTGGGGGAAGAAGGAAGAGGGGATGAAGAGCTATGATGTTTTTCTTCCCAAATCACCATTATGCATGATACAGTCCYGCTTTCCTGGATATGKCTGAACACCTGCCTGCCCKTGRGAATTYCTTGKTTTGMKTTGTGTGTGTGTATAGCTGTTTCCTTACTTAATAGCCTATAAAGTTTTCCCACTTTTCTGATTCTCTCCCCATCCCACTGTGGGGGAAGTGAGTGAGAGTGAGCCAGTGGCTTTGTTGAGGGCTGGGTTTAAACCACAAGAAATACTTCTGTTTGTTTAGCTGTCCTGCAGTGCAGGCAGACACCCTCTAGGTTTAGAGAAATTCCCAGAGGGAAGGGAAGATTTTGTCTTCCCTCAGAGCTGCTGGGTACACATCCAAGAGTGAAGGTTTGGCAAGGGCAACATAAGGAGGAAAAGAAAGCAGAGACCCTGGAACAGGGTTTGATTGGAGCAGACACATAGAAAGTCATGGAACTGAGGGAAAAGGAGCTCAGATGTGGTCATGTAAAAAATGTGTAGCCTTAAAAGTCAACAAAAGCTTGTGGAGTAGAAGAGAGGATTGCGGAAAAGAGCATGTGCTGTAGGGGTGCAGAAAGCAGAGATTTACTTTCAGGTCTTTTRTTTTCATTAGTATAGCCAGCAATTCTGTGTTCCCTGCAGAATCTTCTAGCATATTGATTTATGTTCTAATAAAATCTACTTTTCGATGTTTAGATGGCTTTTGGTAAGCTCACTAGAAAGAGAAAGCAGAGTATGTCCAACTTCAGCCTAATATGAGATCCCAGCTACTTCTCAGAATTGGAAGAAATGGTAAAGCTGACAAGAAAGACAGGATAGGCATGAGGGTAATTTCTATTTAAAGACTCTTTAAAGGCCTTTGTGTTGGTGGATCCCATAGCTATTTACATAATGATTTCTGGGAATATACATTTTGCATTGTTTTTGAATAAAGTGAAGTCTGTGGTAAAACCCAGCAAGTTTTGACATTTTCTGAGATTATATTTTAGCTTGAAATAGAAAGTTCATCAGAAGCTGCTATGAAAATGGCTGACATTGTTCTTCATGGTTTGGAAGATCCCCATCAAGCATTACCGAGCCCCAGCCCTGTTTTGCTTGTGAGTCACTTCAAAGTCATTTCAGAAACATGCATTAATGAATCCTTTCAGGATTTTTGGTACATGCATTCTTTTTTTGTAAAAGAAGTGTAAAGATCATGATTCTAGCAGAATGTATGAAAAAAAAAGAAGCAAATCAAGGAGGAAAGTTCACAATTCATACTTAAACTAATGCCACCTACCTGCACTTTAGCAATGAAAGAAGGCAGTAAAGTGCAGACAGTTTAACCTTCTAYGTTCATAAGGCCTCTCTTCAAAAGTAGGAAGCCACGTGGATAGGATAAGCAAGAATATTTTTTACTAATTAATCTGCAATCTGGGGAATACTCTTGCTTTTCTAAGAGGCTTCTGAATTAATAACACGATAGAGGGGATTTCATGAGCCTTCTACAGATTTCCTATAAACCTAAAATAGTAACTAAACTTGATTCAGCAGATTTTAAGCTGACTGATGTGGTTTCTTATTCGAAGTGAGTGGTACCTGATTGATTCAGAGGAGAATATGAATGAAAGRCACAGCAGAAAGTACCACTTTCACTGCCCCTTTCTTCACATCCTTGGAGCATGAAAAGCCATTATGATGGGGAGCTTTTACATTGCAATGAGCTGCTTAAGAGATGCTGCACTGAAAGATGAGTAAAATGATGCTGCTTTAATGTGTAAATGAAAGTGTWCGCAGTTAAATATGCACAGCACTGTCATTCTTGCTCAACACTTGCAAACATTACCCAAAAAAAAACCCCAGATGCAGCACATGGGCTGTTTGAATGCTYAGGTTTGCTTAGTCATTTTCAGATGAGGTCAGCAATATTCTGCATGACTTGGAGCTCTGAGGCTCTCAGCATTATTAAACTAGGAGAGGAAACACTTTGTTCTCCAATTCTCAAATACACTCATAGAACTCATCCAGAAACTATCACGAGGCAAAAGGCTTCTTTCACTTCCGCTCCTGGTAAAATCATCTGAGTTTAAATGACGCACTTCATATTTTCTTGCAATGCCACTAAGCAGAAAAATACTTGTCATTTAAAAACACCTCCAGTGTAATAATCAAAGAAAACTCTTAACAGAATAAGTGTATTCACCCAGAAGGATGCTTAATCCTCAAAATGAAAAGGCAAAAATCTTTAAAGAAATATGTGAGATGTTAAAATGTAGTGAACCGTGTTCATTTTGCAAGCTGGAAACCATTTCCCAAGAAAACAGTCAAACAGAAGAAGAAGGGGTTGAGCTGGAATGGTTCATTCACCYAGATTCAAGAAGACAATGAAATTCAGACTATATTATTAAAGTGAAAACAATTGCAGTTTTCTCAAAGAGGCTAATTGCAATRATTTGACTAATGATTTAAAGTTGATGCTCATTAAGACCACTTTTTATAGCAGTGTGAATGYTCAGGAACTACGCTTCACATTGTGCTAGATGGCAAAGGTAATATAATTCCAGGTCTGGGTAGGGGGTGGCAAAACCAAACAAAATAAGGTCTGATACCTCAGAGGAAGACTGACAAGGGTTTGACTAATCATGCAACAACTACATCTTCTAATGCTTTGCATATTCCAGATAAACTTTCAATTGCTGTTTTAGTGTATCTGCTTGGAAGGTTTGGGGAGGGGGTTAACATTTTTGGAATGACTTGTGAAAAACTCATTTGTCAGTACATATCAGATTGGTTACCTTTAGCTGTCTGTCCAGATTAATGCATGTTTTGATAGTAGCACTGTAATTTTCTCCTCACACACAGCTTTCAGAATGACCACTTCTCAACCCAAGGAAAGAGCAGCTTGGGTTCCACCAGCARCACAGAGAACTGAGAGATCAGTGGTTTATGGTCCCAAAGTTTAATGGCCACCTATTAAAAGAGGAAATGCATGAGGTGGTAAAGAGAAGCTTCTTTGGACTACAGCTACTGGTATTATTCTTATTAACTTATAAATTGCAAATTTTCTTTCACATACCTTGTGAATTCTATGGATTTTTTGCTTTTAATTTCACCAGGAGCCAAAATACACAAAAGTCACATCATCCCAGCTACTTTTTATACTGTTTTACAATCTGTGCCTCAGAGTCTTCTCTCAGTCTCACAAATGCCTTGCAAAAGAGGCTGCCTTTGTATGTATAGGAATAATAATGCACACATAAAACAGCCCTGAGACATAAGGCAAAATMCTTTTGTCCTACACAAAGCTCCACCACCTTGTTTGTGCCTGTGCAATGCCTGAGAGGTGTAGACAAGGCCTTTGTCCACAATGTCGGATTTCATATGAATGCAGAAGTAAAAGTTGTTTACTTTTTTTATCACATGGCCAAATGCRAAAGTCATATTTCTGTCTTTTCACCCTCTAAGTGGCAACAGCCCTTTGAGCAACCCACTGGAGAATTTGCTGAAACAAGCACTCTTTGGATGCTGAAAAGCTTAAGAGAGTGGGCAGAAGTAGGGTCTTCATCCAACATCCAGATGATCTCCAGTGGGAAATCTGTTGACAGTATTGTGAGGGCTGGCTGTGACAGGCAACTGGCCCCATAATTCACACCTGTAATTATGGGATGACCAGGTGCAGATGAGCACAGCCATAGCCCCATGCTGGTGTGTACCACTGCAGATSTTTCCTTGTGAAGTCCAGACCACAACTCCTGGACCCCTCCTCACATGTTCTTTCCTTTTTTCTCAGGGAACGAGAGGGTGTCAGTGACCGTAGGGGACAGGTCAGTGCTCAACTGCTCTTCCAAAGGAAAAATGAATATGGTAACATGGAAAATAACTACCAAGGTTGGAGACCTCTGCACCTTAGTACACAGGAATGATAGGAATGTGACGCACAGAACAAACTGCAGTGACAACATAAAGTGGAAATTCAGACCAGATCTGGATCCTGCCCTTGAGATACAGCAAGTGGGAATAGACCAGGAGGGAAATTACAGCTGTGAAGTGGCATCAACAGAAGGGAATTTTCACAAGACATACCACCTGACCGTGCTGGGTAAGGAATGTGCAGAAGATAAGCCTTTTTTTTTTTTTTTTTTTTTT